TGTACTTAGTTTCAATTCTCTGTTTTGTTTCTCTAAGCTTCTGAAATACTGTGATTGCAGAATCTCAAACCTTGAGAGAGAGAGAGGTAATGTTTCTACTTGCTCTATGCCGTTGTCCCATTTAATTTCAACCTGTGTTTATGCGCACAACTTTCCAGAAGTTCGTACAAGATGAAAGGTGAGGTTGTTTATTGTCCATGTCACGCGATCAGTCGAGCGTGGGAACTCCTCCCCCCACCCCTCAAGCAACTTCTCAGCCATTATTCACACTTCGATTAAACTCGATACTTCGATGTCTCCATTCCCGTGTCTGAATTAACAACGAAGCAAGAGAATGGCTGGCTGCAATTGCGTGTGGTATAATACAACCGTGAGAACTGAGATGAAACATTTGTTGGCCATTGCTTGGAAAACACAAAAAATGTCAATATATGAAGAATGTAAGGTAAAAGGTGAAATTCGGTTTGATAGGCCGTACAAAAATAGACGAAAATTATGCAGGCTTGTGTGTGTATTGAAGGTTGTGTTTGGCAAATGTTACACGTTAAAGAATCATACATGTTATGAAGTAAGAAGTTGTTTGAGAGATTATGACACCCGTCATATTTTAGCCCATTCAAGCCATTCAATTCGCAGAAAAATCGCAATTATTTTCCTAAATAGCATTAATCAGTCGATCTATTCATTGGTTATGGTGTTGTATACTTATAAGCTAATTACGGAAATCATGATAATCACATATATCACATATATGTTTAATTATAAGGTAGAATCAGTAGGTTACTAGATAAAGTGTTATAGTTATATTGTAGACCTTATGTAGACAGCCAGACTTTCCATTTCCAGCTGTTGTAAGCAGGGGCGACAGGAAGCCATTATGGTGTCTGCTCCAGATACGTTTATTGAAAAGGGTTCCAATTAGTCACAGATAGAGGAGGCCTGCCGAGGTCAAGACGCCTGAACTTTGACAGGGCAAAGGGTCGCGGTCCCCGGGGGTTATCGTGTCCTCTAATTGGATCCAGAACCACGCCTTCGGAAGACACGTTACAGCTTGTTGCATCAGCTGGCATGTAAAACACTGTCACTGACGTCACAAGAGCGATAACGAGATATCCTTAGGGCATGTAGCGCGCATGGATGGGACAAGAGGTGTGCACCGGGTACTGGTTGGGAAACCTGAAGGGAAGAGACCGCTGGGGAGACCTAGACGTAGATGGGAGGATAATCTCAGGCGGGATCTATGGGAGATAGGAGTTGAAGGAAACTGGATTTTGTTGGCCCAGGACAGGGTCCGGTGGAAGGCTTTGGTTAATTCGGTGATGAACCTTCGGGTTAGTTAGTTAGTTATGTACTGAAAGGTGAAATTCCGGACATTTCATTTTACTCGTCAGGAGGAAACTCTGCTGATCTACGCATTTATACATAGCCAACTTTCTTTGTATTCATCTGACTTATTAAATAAATCATCAATCGTCGAACGTCTTCTCGTCAGACTAGGCAGTCACCTTTTAAGCTGTGTATTAAACCTACCCTCGCCGACCATCATTCCTAGCCGCTCGGGAATATTGGAATCCTGCGGGACTGGCCGATCCCCCGGGATACAACAATGGCTTATGTTTAGTTTGAGGTAAGAATTGGACTTTTAAACGTTATTTAGGCAAACTTCAGGCTTCAACAGGTTAAATTATTCTTTAACAAAAAAAAAGTTTCAGGTGTGTTGTCAAAGTGTACCGATATTATCGTGTCCATGTTTGTGATTCTAACAGCAAAACGATAATCTGTGGATTTATATATTATTATATGTTATATTACATGTGATCTACATTTATACCAGACTTCACGTGCGTTGGGTGTATATTTGTCAGTCTATGGTTTATAAGATTGCAAATGTGTACTCTTTGAAGGACACCGACATTTCAAAGGTGTTCTTCGCTACTCCATGTCACTTATGCCATTGTTGTATTGATGTGCACCGGTTATTGATGTGTATGAATGAGTGAGTGGGTGTTTTATTCGGTGATTTGGATAGCGTGGATATCCCCCCACAAAAAAAAAAAAAAATTGTTCCCCAGTCGTTAACAAGACTTGATGACATTTTTTGAAGGTGGGTGTGGTTCTGTGGCTGTCGCAAAATATCTCTCAACTTCGTTGACGGTTGCAAATACACAAGTCGACGGGCTGACAGGCGTGGGCAGATACTTTCAAGTTTTGTCAAGTTGGCCCTAGTTCGACAGTAGAGCTTCACAGACTTCTATACAGTTTCTCTTTAGTTTTTGTATACAGTGTACAGTGGCCTTTTCCTCCTATTCAGTTACACCAAGGTCGGGCAAACACTGGTCGGCCGTGCGGCTATTCCACCCCTCGTGCGCGCGCACAGGTAGGGTTTCTCGTGTTCTATTGCCACCGCCAGCCGCATGTTGCGGCAGAAAAACCACTCGTGCTCCGGGTCTAAAGGCAGTTTCCACTGTTCCTGGAGTCGCTATTTCCCATAAGCGCAATGTTATAACTACGTGTTACATTCAAGAACGACATAAAAGCTAAGAAAACAAATTATTAATCAACAATTTTATTGTCTGAAACGAAACATGCAAGCAACGAGGAATTATCAGATTATTACATATGCTATTAAAATAAAAACGAATTGAAAAATAACTTTCTTGTCTTCATTTACAGTTATTTTGGCTTAAGCGATTCCAGTGCATTGGTTTTCATTAGCGCGTGTTTAGTTATAAGTGATATTATAGGTTCTCATGGTGGTAAGTACGAAGATGGCTGTCTTCTGGATTGTAGCGCCATGTAGTCTGGTAGAAGTTTGCCAGCGTTTCAGAGGTCCTTGCTGCCTCCATCATCAGGGCGATGGGGAAACAAGGACCTCTGAAAAATTGTTATAAAATATTATTTAACCGAGTGTATTTAGTTAAGTCTTAAGGTCAAAGTGTGAGGCTGGCTCAATCACGTGGTCCAAGAGATAGGTTTTCAGTTGTCTTCCTTTCTTTTACCTGAAGAAGGAAGCAGAATGCAGGTTCTAAAACGTTTTTTGATTCTGTTGAAATGTAGACGATGGAGACAGTCCAAGAAAATTTTTAAAAT